TGTCTTGAATACATCATTACAGTTGAGCCTTGAATATATTGTTACAGTCTAGCCTTGAATAATATCATTTCAGTCTAGCCTTGAATATATTGTAACAGTCTAGCCTTGAATATATCTTTACAGTCTAGCCTTGAATATATCATTACAGTCTTGCCTTGTATATTACGTTACAGTCTTGTCTTGAATATATCTCTACAGTCTAGCCTTGAATAAATCATTGCAGTCTAGCCTTGAATATATCATTACAGTCTTGTCTTGTATATTACGTTACAGTCTTGTGTTGAATATATCATTACAGTTGAGCCTTGAATATATTGTTACAGTCTTGCCTTGAATATATCGTTACAGTCTTGTCTTGAATATATCGTTACAGTCTGGCCTTGAATAAATCATTACAGTCTAGCCTTGAATATAATTATCATTACAGTCTAGCCTCGAATAAACATTACAGTCTTGCCTTGAATATATCGTTAAAGTCTAGCATTGAATATATCATTACAGTCTAGCCTTTAATAATTATATCATTACAGTCTAGCCACAAATATATCAATACCATCAAACCTTGAATATATCATTACAGTCTAGCCTTGAATAATTATAACATTACAGTTTAGCCTTGAATATATCATTATAGTCTAACCTTAAATTTATCTTTACCATCAAACCTTAAATATATCATTTCAGTGTAGGCTTGAATATATCATTACAGTCTAGCCTTGAATATATCATTACAGTCTAGCCTTGAGTATATTATTACAGCCAAGCCTTTAATAATTATATCAAAACAGTCTAGCCTTGAATATATCATTATAGTCTAGCCTTGAATATATCATTACAGTCTAGCCTTTAATAATTATATCATTACAGTTTAGTCTCAAATATATCATTACCATCAAACCTTAAATATATCATTACAGTCTAGCCTTTAATAATTATATCATTACAGGCTAGCCTTGAATAAATCATAATCACCAAACCTTATTTATAACATTACAGTCTAGCTTTGAATATATCATTATAGTCAAGCCTTGAATATATCATTACAGTCTAGCCTTTAATATTTATATCATTTCAGTTTAGCCTTGAATATATCATAACAATCAAACCTTGAATATATCATTACAGTCTAGCCTCGGATATATCATTACTATCAAACATTTATGATTATACCATGGCAGTACAATCTAACCTTGAATTTATCATTACAGTCTAGCCTTGAATATATCAGTTTAGTCTTGCCTTGAATATAGCATTAGTGTCTAGCCTTGAATACTAGTATATCATTACAGTCTTGCCTTAAATATATCATTACAGCCTAGTCTTGAATATTTCATTACAATGTACCCTTGATTATATCATATAGTCTAGCCTTGAATATATCACTACAGTTTACCTTTGAATGTATCATCAGTCTAGCCTTGAATTTATCATAAATTTCTAAACCTTAAATATATCATTACATTCTAGCCTTGAATATATCATTACCATCAAACCATGAATATATCGTTACAGTCTAGCCTTGAATATATGATTACAGTCTAGCCATAAATATATCATTACAGTCTAGCCTTGAATACATCATTACCATCAAACCTTGAATATATATTACAGTCTAGCCTTGAATATATCATTACCATCAAACCTTGAATATATCATTACAGTCTAACCTTGAATATATCATTATAGTATAAACTTGAATTTATCATTATAGCCTTTACCTTGAAAATATCAATTTTTATTAGGTAACTAAAAAACACTAATAAGCTCACATTTATTTGATTTTAATCACAAAAATAAATTTCTCAGTTTACACATGTATTTCAATACATTAGATGTATCTAATCTTATATTTGTGTACATTTTTTACACAATGGTCACACAGACAGACTCTTCAATAGAGCAAGAAATGGTGAAATATTTGTAAACATTTAAGAGAAATCCACATTCAACTGTTCTTGATTAAATGTTGAATTTATAAATTCTCCCTAACACACCTCTTTTCTTAGACTTGTCATCCATCTCAACTTGTGTCCATCTTGTAGCATCAAGTTTTTTAATTCTGTTTAAGTTCAGAAATAGAAATTGTTCTTATATCTCCTAATCTCAGCGTGGCGTCTGGTATAACACCTATAGGGGTTTGTAAATTGCTTATCTGTAGTGACTGTACATTAATATCCATTGCTTTCAAAGTTCCTGTCACCTTGGTTTTTCCGTACATATTAATATCGGCATTCTGGTCATTTATGGCAGCCATTAGCCTCAAGTAACGCTCTCTCAAAAATGTTCTTGTCTCTTGTTTTGATTGGTCTGTCAGGGATGGATCCATTTGTACCAGCATTCTAAAAATATTAGAAATAATCAATTAAAATCTTTATAATTTTGTTATGTTTATCTAATAATTTATTCAGATAAATCATTGTACAATGTTAATAGATACAGTACAACATATCTTATCACTATCTCACGGTGCATATCCATATCAGTACCCTCTTTGCGAAATCTGCTGAAACGGTACCCTCTCTGAACATGCACAGGTTATTCTCTGCTAAAAACAAACCAGCGACGGATACCAATCCAGTAAAATTTCATTGTAATAAGGAAAGGAGGTATTTCACGTAGAAAAGATGTATACCGCGGAACACTAGGATGTTTGATTTATGCGCTGATTTGTCATGCGCCCGATTTTCATGTACTGCAACTTCACAATAAGCTACAAAAATCGACATGTCTTGCTTCGCCCATCACCTCGACATATTTTTCGGGCTGAAATGAACCTGTGGCTTGATTATATATGCATCATACATATTTAATATGTTCATATACATATCATCTTCGGACAAATGGCAGTATATTGTCAAAAATAAATGTAAAATTCATAAAAACACCCTACTTTCGGTTTTGCAGCGGCACGGGCTACCTCTCTTCACTTGAATTTTTATATCACAGGTACCCTCTCATTTTTTTAACACATAGGTACCCTCAAAGCACGACATATGCTTTTTTTGCGTTAATCGTTAAGTATGTAATATTTACATAAAAGTAAAAAGTATTACATACACACTAAACGATTAACGCAAATAATGTTAACTTGAAACTTCATACAGTTTAATGTAAGACCCAAATCAGTCGAAATGAATTATTTCCCTTTCTGCATATAAAAAAAAAAAAACACAAAAAAAACAAACAATCATTTTTATACAAAGTTCAAAGCCCTGAAACTATTCAATGTTAAGTTCACTGGGGATTTCTGTTAAAAAACACCTGGCCATCACCTAATTAGAACTTGACATGTATTTTCTGGTAAAATACCAGCACATGCAATGTCAACCTTGGACATGCATTCCTACAAAAGTTAGAGCAGAAACTGAAAATTTCTTTTTTCTTAAAGTTCAAGAAGGATAACTCTGTCAAAAAACATCAGACTAAAACCGAATTCGACATTGATTTGTATTTCTGGTTAGATACATGCCCATGGGATTTCAACCTTATACAAATACTTACATTTCTACAAAAGTGAGTGAGTTAACTGAAAATTTCAAATTTTTTTCAACGTTCAAGAAGGATAACTTTGTCCAAAATCTTCAAAACATGGCCAAATTCAATCTTGACCTGCTTATTCCTATGATGTATCTATATTTCAAATTTGAGTTGAATGTGTACAACTGTTGGGGAGATAATAAACAGAAACTGAAAAGTTTTTATTTTTTTCAAAGTTAAAGGGACATAACTCTGCCAAAAATCATCAAACCATGAGCAAATTCGAACTTGACCTGAGCATTCCTTTAACATATCCATATGGCAAATCTGAGTTGAATGTGTACAACTGTTGGGAAGATAATGATGGAAACTGAAAATTTCTTCAAGGGGCATAACTCAAGTCATTGGACAATTAATGACCAAATTTGATCCCGACCTGCATATACCTATGATGTACGACTATCCAATATGTCAAATTTGAGTTGAATGTGCACAACTGTTGGCAAAATAATGCATGGAAACTGACGATAGCAGAATGACAGAATGATGAAACCGTAGTCTGGGAAACACTTAGCTTATTAAAGGTCTCCAGTGAACACGTTTATATACTTTCAGATGAAAAACAAAAATGTTAAAAAGCAGCTTATAAATAAAGTTTTGGAAGCCAGGACTAGGTAACACTATACATGTGTACATGACCCTGCCATTTTATGGTGAGGGCATAAAACTAAACTTATCAATTGATTAGTTGTCACCAACATTGACCCATTTATTTACTTGCTGCTTATCCTATTCTAGTCAACATCACTAATTGTTTATGCCTTTGTTGAATATTAGCAGAACTATAAAACCTGTTCGCTGAAGTATCTTTAGCTAATTTAAACTATGTTTATAATTGCAATGCAAAATTTGTTATAATTTTCTACTACAACATTAAAGTACATGTACATGCGATTTAGCTGATAAAACATTCTGATTGGGCTGTCATGTTCGCCTCTTTAAAAAAAAACAAAAAAAAAAAACATGATGTTCCATTGCTTTTTCAGTCAACCAAATGGATTTCATTGATTAAGGTACGTTTCAATTAGTGTACGATTAGAATATTTAAATTCTACTTTCGTTTTCATTTCACTATTACAAAACTTTACTTTTTTGTAATAAAATAATTTAATTTTAGATTTAACATATATATACAGACCGAACGTAATATTTCTAATTGCTATTTACATCAACAGTCTGTGCAAATAGGATATTTGACATAATTTTTAACCTCAAATTATTCATAACTTCACGCACCTGCCATCACTTAATCTACGTTAAAGCACGTATGGATTTTTAAAAAAGTTCAATTCCGAAAAAAATCCAAACAATATTTTCTTTATTCTTTTTGAAAAAAATAATTCTTCTTAGATATCAATTAAGTTATGTTGACAAGATGTATGATGATTTTTGCAATTCTTTTAGCAATATTCGGCAACTTTCTAATTTAATCTGTTTTTAGGAATTGGACTTTAATTTCCTAACATTTTTTTTCAAACCGGAAGTGGGTGATAACCGATACAAAATGGCTGACTTTGACCACTGAATAAACAATCACATGACATTTTCTTTATTTGCTCGCTTTAGATAGGTTTTTAATCATCAAATTCATCGAAAGATGGCTGAGTCTAGTAAGCAAATGAATGAGTTGGAAGAAGGAAACTCTGTTGAGGATGACACTGATATTTTTGATGAAATGAAAGTCGCTAGGAATGGAATCAACAAACTGCTAAACAATAACTTTGAAGATGCGTTCAAATTGTTTCAGCAACACAAGTAATTGTTTTCTCACTACCTCTTCACAAACTTTTGACTTGTGCTTACTTATTTCTCAGAACATGTGATAAAGCAAATTTATTAGTATAAGACTATAGGGCTTCCATAATTTAGCCCAAAAAATTTTGCACTTAAGGGGGGCTTTTTATTATATAGACGTAGTCCAACTAATACACTGATAAACACTTTCAGAACTAGCAGACGACAGGCTTTTCATATCAGTAGTACTTCGAGTAAAGATAACGGGTTGCGTATAAATCATATGTAAAATGGTCTGACATATGGTAGGTTTAACAGTTAATTAAAACACTTTGAAGTCCAAAGATGTGTTGAATTTTATACCGTGACGAAGCTAAGATCCAAAGCTTTCTATTGGTGTAATACATTTTAAAATCGGACATTTAATCACAACAAACTAGCAGTTTAAAAACAGGTTATTTTGTATTGTTTTAGCATAAGCGATATCGATTTTACTCGAAGATAAGGGAAGCAACTCGTATTTTTTCACTCGATACACCTCGGTTATTTACGTAGATCATATTGAAAGTGTTTATGGGTGTATTGTACTGCGCGACGAGATATTGTGCTATTTTCGTGTCTGGGCAATATCTGGCCTCTAAGCGAGATTCTGACCCAGCACGAAAATATGTCAGAATCTAGCTTTGGCACCAAAATATTTTTTGACTAATATAGATGATGGTCGCACTTCGCGTCTGAAAAGACATACAGACGCTTGGGGGTCAGATTCTGCCCCCCCCCCCCCAATGTGATACACCCCTGTAAACACTCTATAAAAACTATTTTAATATTTAAACACGAACAGGACATCTATGTCACGATAAAACTGGTTTTCAAACAATTTTTACATATATGAAAAAATACCGTTTAACATCAAGTCAACTGTTCTAAATTCATAGATTTTTATTTATCAATAAAAATTTTTTTTGGTAAAATTTGAAATATATTGCTGAGTGAGAAATTAGTAATGGAACATTGAAAATTTTTCTAACAAATCAATTTTTTATCTAAAACTGTAAAATGACCATAAAAAATAGAAATATCACATAATGATATTGTGGACTTCATTTGGTGGTGTAATTTCCCCGAGCTCTGTAACATACTGGGAAACGATGTTTACGCTGTCACATTTATTTAGCTACCTACATCTTGGAAAATCAATAAACTTGTAGGATTTATTTTGATTACATAACAAGAAAATATTTGGTATAATAAAAACTAATGCCAACCTGGAGGTATTTTTTTACCAATGTGTTAGAACTAGGAGTTATTCATTGTTCCACCTGGATTAGCCGCTTCAGCCTAGCAAATACTGCAGAGGGCCTTCTTATTATTTAACTTAGAGAAAATTCCTTTCATGCTGAAATATTAAATACAATATTTTTAATGTAGGCCTAAAGCCATATCATGTTTATAAGTTACACATTTAATTATACCCCCTACTCAAAATGGGGGGGTATAATGGATTCGCTTTGTCGCATCCGTCCGTCTGTCGGTCCGTCCGTCTCCATTTTCGTGTCCGCTCTATAAATCCTATACCAATTGAAGGATTTTCTTTAAACTTGGCTTAATTGTTCACCTCAACAAGGGGATGTGCAGAACCCATGTTGCCCATGTGTCAGGTCAAGGTCACAATTGAAGGTCAAATATCAAAGAATCAAATATTAGACAGTATGTCGTGTCCGCTCTGTAAGTCCTACACTAATTGAAAGATTTTCTTCAATCTTGGCTCAAATGTTCACCTCAACAAGGGGATGTGCAGAACCCATGTTACCCTTTTGCCGGCTTAAGGTCAAGGTCACACTTGAAGGTCAAAAATTGACTTAGAAAATGTTCTTAAATTTTAACATGTATTTGAATATTTCTGAAACTAGAAAAGGTATTTGCTTGAAACTCAAAATATATATGAAGTGTCACAATTAAGATATGCAGGTCAAGTTTCATAACTCTGTATTGCATTTTAACAAAGTTATGCCTCTTTTAACGTCTTCAAATTTACATTATTAAATCAAATATTAGACAATATGTCGTGTCCGCTCTATAATTCCTACTAATGGAAGAATTTTCTTCAACCTTTACTCAAATGTTCACCTCAACAAGGTTATGTGCAGAATCCATGTTACCTTTGTGCTGGCTAAAAGTCAAGGTCACACTTGAAGGTCAAAAGTTGACTTAGAAAATATTCTTAAATTTTAACATGTACTTGAATATTTCTGAAACTAGCACAGGTATTTGCTTGAAACTTAAAAGATATATGAGGTGTCACAAATAAGATATGCAGGTCAAGTTTCATAACTCTGTATTGCATTTTGACAAAGTTATGCCCCTTTTTAAGTCTTTGAATTTACATCAATCAATACTAGACAATATGTTATGTCCGCTCTATAAATTCTATACTAATGGAAGGATTTTCTTCAAACTTTACTCAAATGTTAACCCCAACTGGTTATATGGGCCTTAAATAAAAAAACGTGTTTTGCCCTGTTGATGATTTTTGGGTCATCTCCTACACAGTATCTGCAACATGCAATTGGCTATGAGGTGCCACATGTCATCACTGATGGCCTAAAGTTGTCTTTTGAATATACACATGATTGTAGTCTAGCCGGGAAAATCAAAGGTGTATTAAGACCATGCAACATACATGTAATGACCAGGCATCACCATGTGTTTATTGCCCCATTGTCAGAATCTTTTTCCTCTGGCGTTGACAAAATTAATACATTGGGTCTAAGACAAGGTGGCTACATATGGGTACATATACATTTAATTAACTTGGACTGCATAAGTCACTATTAATACCAATTCACTATTAAGACCACTTTGAGTTAGTCTAATCAGTGGTCCTAATAGAGAGAATTTACTGTATTTGCACTTTTGTTTACATATACTGATTTAAATTAATTCAATTGTTTTTGTTATTTTTAATTAGACTAGTTTTGAAGGGTTAAGGGAAATATTGTAAAAGGTTTTATAATATAGCTGATATATAAAGTTTCATTTCCTCAATAGGCAATGTAGGTGAAATAGCAACAGATTGCATTTTCTACAATTTAAGGTCACTCTCTAAAAGAATAAATTGTGAAGAACATTATATTTTCTGTTATCATAGTTTGCCTTAAAATTTCAGGGAAGAAAGTCCTCTTATGCATGCAGGATACAGTTTTGTTTACTTCATGGTAAATATTTCATTATAATTTTATTAAGTTCATACATAACAAAATATATGGGTATGCTCAAACATGTGCAGAGTTTAGCGATTCGTTTCTTAAGTGTCTATATAACATAATAGAAAAGAACAGAACATAAGAGAACATAAATTTATTGTGCATAAAACTATATAAATATGATACAATTTTAAATCAAATAACTAAATGATCAAGTTAATCAAGGAAAGGTAGAATCAGTCAAGTATGATAAAAACATTTTGTTAACCTTCGGACCTCAATTATGAGTTCAAAAAAAAAATCAGAACTACATGACTTGAAGCGAAATAATTTATGAAGAGTATAAAGGCTTCAGAAATCCTTTTATTCTTATTTATCAAAAGCTTTTTTTTTAATTTTCAGTGTTCTGTTACACAAGCTTCCCTACTGACACAAACCATTCTTTGCTTCTATTGCTTTTGGCATATAGTACATTTGTAATGATTTAGTATTTTGTATAGAAGTCAAAATACTACTTTGTTAACATTTTGCTACATTTACATGTATGTCTAATAATTAGATGGCATTTAAGTGTGGGCTACTTTAGGTCCACATAAGTCATATTGGTAAAATCTTTTGCCACCAGTAGCCTAATGGTTGATAAATGATATTTTCAGCAAGGGTTGATGTCATTTGAAGAGGAACAGATGGACAAGGCACTAAAGGCTTTAGAAGAGACGGAAAAGAAATGTGAAGTTAGTGATGGATTTGTCAAATCTATAAAGAAAAAGTTTGGCAAGAAGAAGAAAAAAGAGGTAAAACTATAGTAAATGATAACCAGTTACTAAAATGCAGTTGAAAAAATATTTTCAAAAAGTTTCATTTTGATTTTTCTTTGACATTTTAGTTTTGGCGTGTAATGGTCAAAGTTTATCTACTGTCAGTTAGACCGGTATGAAATCATATGACATGGTATGACATGACGCTGTAAGCATTCTTTTTGTTATGCTTTACATATATTGTGTAATAATGCACTTGACTGCGGGTTGATATGGGAGTAATCCTGAGTGTGTAAGAATACAACATTTGAGCCGCGTCATGACAAAACCAACATAATGGGTTTGCGACCAGCATGGATCCAGGCGCGCAGTCTGATCAGGAACCTTGCTGTTCGCTTACAAACCCAATTACAAGTTTTGAAGTAGAGAATCTGATTTTTGTAGTGCAGTACACATATTGTGTAATAATGCACTGGACTAGGGATTGATATGGGAGTTATCCTGAGTGTGTAAGAATACAACATTTGTTGTTGTTTTTTCACAGGGTCAGCAGATCAGTGTAGAGGAGAGAATACAGAGGCAAGTCATAGTGGGTGACTCGCTGTTGTATCAAGCCATTCTAGTCTTCACCGGACAAGATATACCCAGCTACATCAAAGGTGGTTGGCTGCTTCGTAAAGCTTGGAAAATATATGAAAAACTGTATAAAGAAGTAACCAATTTACGTGAAAATCCTAAAATGAAGAAATCCACATCAAAGGCTAGTATATCCAGTAATAGTATAACATCTGATGGACCGATTGATGACAATGACAATGAGATACCGAAGGAGGTTCTAGATCGACTACAGGGTGCTGTTAATTTCGGTTACGGAACTTTTCAGATTTGTATATCAATGATTCCACCTAAGATTATAAAGATTATAGAATTTCTAGGTTTTGAAGGTGATCGTGTACTAGGACTGGAGGCGTTAAATTATACAAGCCACTCGGACTCAATGAATGCGCCACTAGCTACTTTAGGACTATTATGGTACCATACAGTATTAAGACCATTCTTTGCATTGGATGGAGCCAATGGTTATGACGCAGGTAAAAAAAAATATTTGCTTTTTTTTAGCTGATTATTCAAAGAATAGGGAAATATTGTACTTATTCAGGTTTTTGTCATCACACTTTTGTTAAGATTTTACATGCAAGTTAGTACATGTATCTCAAAAACTATGAAAGGGAATTGGTTTAAACTTCTAACACTTTTTCTCTGTGATTATCTTACATTATTCAGATTGGCACAGGTCTCATAATGCAGAGTTACCTTTTTATGCCCATTTTTGTTCTGCCACAGAATAATAAATTCTTAAATAATCCATTGGCCTTAAAAAGGGCATTTTTTTAATAAAGAGTCTTTCAGGACATAAGCTTGTTGTTTATAGGAACGAAACAAAATACAGTGAAAGTTGAGAAAACCGGACGGCTTTCAGGCCGAGGATTTTGTCCGGTTTTCTCAGTGGTCCGGTATTCTCAATATCCCCTTCAGTTGTTCAGGATCCTATAAACCTAGCAATGACTTACAAAGGATGTTGTATATTTGCATTTTTATGATCATGAGTAAGTATATTGCTAAATGAAGAAATGATAAAACTACTTTATAATATGTTCTAATTGTGTTTGTCCCATTATTGCATATAAATACAATAACATTTTTGATTTAAACAAACAGCAGTTACCTAATAATGATAAAGTCCGATTGCACCCGCAAATGTTTACATGTACATTAGGGTAATAGATAATGATTTTACAAACATAGTTTACTTTGTTTGTTTATAATAATGCCCCAATTGTAAATATTGCCTATACCATATTTGTCAAATACAGATTTTTAAAGTAGGTCTTGGCAAAGTTTCACTGTCTTTAATTAATTTAAATTTTTCACTTATAGAGTATGAGACAGCTCTCGTCAAATTCTTTTAGGCCATGGAATAGAACTTAGCGGTGATAAATGTTGTTTCTGTTGCGTTGTCATTTTGGGAAATTAATATACAAAAGCAAACCAGTATAATAATACTCTATTTTTCATTCATACTGATTTTAACTTATCAATTCCTCGTGCATTTTGGCATTTATATAAAATGGTAACATCTATACCTTACAATAAATCAAACTGTGAAGAGACATAATTACAAATTAGACAATCATTGCTCCTTTACCGCTCAGCGTATTAGACACAACCAATTGATAAGTACACAAGGTTATTCACACCTTCGTCGTCCGGTATTGTCAGGGTAATGTCTATATAATTGACTTTGTAGTCCCCTTTCAACCGTCCGATATTCAGTTTTTACAGATTCCGGTATTGTCAAAGTTTAATACAATTGTTTAAAGAAGGGAAAATTTGGGACTGAATTATTCGTTCGGTGTTTAGAAAGTTCCGATTTTCTCAGCGTCCGGTTTTCTCAAATTTCACTGTATTTGAAATTTGAAGTGAACTTTTGAGAAATTATCTCTTGATAGACATGCTACTTGTATATAACAGGGAAATGGCTTTGTAGTTAATCACTGCAAGATGGACTGACACTTGTTGATCATTTTGAAAATGTTGATTTCTGCTGTTCTTACTATTAATTGTATTTAGTAAGAAGTATTACTACAATAATATAATCCAGATATAGCATTATTAACACTTCTTAAGAATTGACTGTAGATGTCATTTCTCCCATGTACTTAAAAATAGCACAGCAAAGAGAAAACTTTCATGCAATGAACATTAAAATGTTTGCAATGCTGACTAAGACTAAATGCTTTAATAATTTTGTTTATTTTTACATTGTTTATATGGTAGGTTGCGATGATGCTGAGAAACTCATAGAGACTAAAAATGAACAATTCCCAAACTCTTGTTTATTCCTATTCTTTCGTGGAAGAATACATCGTTTAAGGGTAAGATTTTTTTTAATGCTTTTTTTTGTGAACAATAGATATATAGAGAATAACATGCTACTGTCTTTTGATATCAATGTTATCAGGCAAGGCTGATATGGACTAGAAAGGGGCGACGCTTGCCAGTCATGTTTAACCTTTTTATGTACAGTACAATCTCTAGAAAGTAACACCATTTGGAGACCAGGAGTTTGATTGTTGCTGAGAGGTGTTGGTTGTGCTACAGTAAAGGGCCACTATATAGAGGTTTTACTGTATATTCATATGTAGTAAAATATTTTTCTTGTATGATTGAATGTTTTTTATTGACTTGCGTATTATGGTTACAGAAACAAACTGACCTGTCACTGAAGATGTACAATGAGGCATTTCAGGCAGCAGACGGCCAGAAAGAACTGGAGCTTATGTGTCAATATGAAATTGGTAAGTAGGAAAAATTTACTTTTCTTTTCCTATTAAGGATGCATTACTATGAAACATTAGTTTGTAGAACAGTTCCTACCTTGAAGTGTTTACAGCTATATTAAATGGTTTACCTATGGCAGCAGTAAAGAGCACTGGAGGTCTTCCTGCTTTCAAGCTGGAAATGTGCCATTTGACCTCTTGTGTGGATGCAAGGTTAAATGAGCCCAAACCCAAAACCATACAAAATCATGTTATTAACTTCAAACTTGATTGTCAAAATTATTGAAATTTGAGGCACTTAACTGTCATAATTATTTATAGGCTTTTAAAGCATGTTAAGATATACAAAATTAGCCTTTACTCGGAAATAGGTAGGAAAAATAGTAAATTCGGTCAATCATCAGACTTTCAAATAATCACCTTAATTATGTGTCTCCCATTCCTAACATAGTTTGAATTTTTACACTATGGAGGATGCATTGAAAAAGATTCAGTATTATATGTTATGTTACTTGTTTACAGGTTGGTGCAATATGATGAGGTTGAACTGGAGGGAGGGACTTACAGCATTCACAAGGTTTGTTTTGTGTTTTTTTTAGACAGGTCTGTGTCTGACTGACTGGAATATTTCTCTACTGTAAAATTCTACAGGTTTACTGAGAAACAATGAGAACCTCCCTAGTCATGAATTTTGATAAATTTTTGTGTTACATGTTTTTGAAATTTTAGCTATTTGGAGCATGTCCCATTATTGGACTTGCTTAAAAAAGAAAAAAATACAACCCTGTTAATCTGTAAGATGGAAGAATTATTACTTTTTAGTTTCTGCCCTCCAAGTTTGATCAAAGCAAGTATGATAATGTGTTTAATTAAAAGATATTTAGAATATAGCTAAATACCAAAAGATAGCATCATAAGTGACCTCTACAAACAAGTAAGCTTACTCCTGGCATACATTTTACGGAATAATGCTCCTTTGTTATTTTTACATGTAATTTGTTAAGTTAAATGATGACTTCAATAATTTGGTTAATTTTTAGGTTGAGGAAAGAAACAAAATGGTCCAAATGTTATTATTCATACATGGAAGGGGGTAAGATCTTCTTTGTTATATCATTGAAGTAATTTATAGATATATTTAAACAATTTTAGGAAATAGAAAATAAAACCAGTTGGTACTCGCTTAACTGTCTATACTGTATAGTTTAAGAAATATTTTTTTTGTGTATATTAAATTGATAGATTTCTGCAGACCCACAAGTTTGGATGAATATCACACTTCCCCATTCAGTTACAATAAAAAAAAATATACAAATTTTAGTCCTTATTACATGTATACCTACATGTTTTGTTAATATGTATACTTAACACAGGGGAAGGTTCAAGAGATCTGAAGGGTTATTTAACTTATGTACTCTGTTCTGTATGAATTGCAAGGTACTTGACACTTATAGCTCAAGGATGAGTCATATTTTCTTCCGTTATATGCTCTTCAAATAAATTGTCAAAAAGTCACTTACCATGTTAAAACACTAACTTAAAATATGTACATTGTATAAATATGTACATTGTATATTATTAGTTATAAAACTTCTTAGCTCATCTGAACATTATGGTACTGTAAGTACAGGATACAGAAGCACTTGTTAGGTAATTGCCTGTCAGTAAAGGTCTGAAATAAAGATTAATCTGGTACCACTTTACCCAGAGAAAGCAAACAAACTGGCAGATTTTTGACTTCTTAGCACCAGCAATTCTTTGATGGGAGCATACCTTTTGCCTAGCTTTTGACAGATTGATGGTTTTACTCAGGTACACCCTCTTACCTGTAACAATGTATTAAGGGGCACCTGAGGACTAAGTTCCTCCAATATAGCTTGAAAATAGCCGCATGACTTAAACAGGCCAATGTCAACTTAAATTCATAAAATAAAAATGAAAACAATTCTACATATTATACAGTCAGATTAACAAAATATTCCTTCAATTTTTCAGAAGTTTAATTTCTTTTATATTTGGAATTTTTAGCTCACCTGTCACAAAGTGACAGGGTGAGCTTTTGTGATCGCTTTTCGTCCGGCGTCCGTCGTCCGTAAACTTTTACTTTAAATGACATCTCCTCATAAACCGCTAGGCCAATTTCATCCAAACTTCACAGGAATGTTCCTTTGGTGGTCACCTTTAAAAATTATTCAAAGAATTTAATTCCATGCAGAACTCTGGTTGCCATGGCAACCAAAAGAAAAAACTTTAAATATCTTCTTTTAAAAAACCCTAAGAGCTAGAGCTTAGATATTTGGCATGAAACATCTTCTAGTGAGTGTCTACCAAGTTTGTTCAAATAAAAGCCCTGGGGTCAAAATTGGCCCCGCCCCAGGGGGTCATTGATTTTTCCTATATGCATATAGTATAAACTTAAAAAATCTTCTTTGAAAAAACCCAAATAGCTAGTGTTTAGATATTAAGCATGAAACATCTTCTAGTGAGTGTCTACAAAGTTTGTTCAAATAAAAGACCTGGGGTCAAAATTGGCCCCGCCCCGGGGGTCATTGATTTTCCTTATATGTGTATAGCAAAAACTTAAAATCTTCTTTGAAAAAACCCAAATAGCTAGAGTTTAGATATTTGGCATGATACATCTTCTAGTGAGTGTCTACAAAGTTTGTTCAAATAAAAGCCCTGGGGTCAAAACTGGCCCCGTCCCAGGGGTGTCATTGTTTTTAACTATAATTGTATAGTAAAAACTTAAAAAAATCTTCTTTTAAAAAGCCCAATGAGCTAGAGCTTAGATGTTTAGCATGAAACATCTTCTTTTGGGTGTCTACCAAGTTTGTTCAAATAAAAGCCCTGGGGTCAAAATTGGCCCCACCAATGGGGGTCATTGATTTTCCCTGAATGCATATAGTAAAAACTTTAAAAATCTTCTTTTAAAGAACTCAAAGAGCTAGAGCTAAGATATTTAGCATGAAACATGTTGTAATGGGTGTCTACCAAGTTTGTTCAAATAAAAGCCCTGGGGTCAAAATTGGCCCCGCCCCGGGGGTCATTGATTTTCCTTATATGTGTATAGCAAAAACTTAAAAATTCTTCTTTGAAAAAACCCAAATAGCTAGTGTTTAGATATTAAGCATGAAACATCTTCTAGTGAGTGTCTACAAAGTTTGTTCAAATAAAAGACCTGGGGTCAAAATTGGCCCCGCCCCGGGGGTCATTGATTTTCCATATATGTGTATAGCAAAAACTTAAAATCTTCTTTGAAAAAACCCAAATAGCTAGAGTTTAGATTATTAAGCATGAAACATCTTGTAGTAAGTGTCTACAAAGTTTGTTCAAATAAAAGCCCTGGGGTCAAAACTTGCCCCGCCCCAGGGGTGTCATTGTTTTTAACTATATGTGTATAATAAAAACTTAAAAAAAATCTTCTTTTAAAAAGCCCAATGAGCTAGAGCTTAGATGTTTAGCATGAAACATCATCTTATGGGTTGTGGGGGTGGGGGGGGCTATATACAGGTGAGCGACCTCAGGGCCATCATGGCCCTCTTGTTAAATTTGTACATGCCATATGTGTAGAGTCAAATTGGCCTGCCTACTGAAACCCCTTACAATAACAATTGACAAGGACAAGTAGTTTTTGACCAAACTTCACAGGAATGATCCTCTACAAAAGTTAAATGCTGGTAAATGGTTCTAGTGTGGTGCACAAATAGGTCACAAGAGCTAAAATAGACTTAAAATGAAATCTTAAAAAAGCCTTCTACTCAAGAACTACAATGCCTAGAACTTAGATATTTGACATGTAGCATTTCCTAGTGGAATTTTACAAATACCTCTACGAATATTTTATAAATCATTCAGTTGGAATGAAAAATGTCATGCCCAATTTGTACTTACTTATTCATTGGAAAATTGTAACCTTTCCCGACAATGGATTTAAAGTGAGCCATCCATGGTCATAATGACCCTAGGGTAGTTGGTCAGGTGATGATTTCACACATGCTTCACGCTGTATCAGAAATTTAACATTATTCTTAAAGATACTTTACTAGTAACTTTGTCAAGATGTTTATTAAAACTACATGTAATTTGTATAATGGCATATTGTTTTGCTTTTACAGTGTGCCTTGGAGGTATGGGGGATATCAAGGGGGCGTTTGATTTATTTAAAGAGGTTCCAGGTCTGTTGAAGAAAAAGAACAACCAGATAGAGGCGTATGTATCCCGACGAGCAGAGAAAATGAAAAAGAGCCCACCTACTCAGGAATATTGTAGATTACTAACATTAGAACTCATCTTTTTATGGCACGCTTTACCCACCCTAACTGTAGAGGAACTGAGGCCCTACCTCGATGGTATGATGAATCATTATTGTAACTTTTATCTATTATGAAATTGTACTTATGCCTAAACTTGTTGTCAGGGGTACAAATTAAGTGATTTTACCACTTACTTTCCAAAGAAACCACCTACATATATAGCTGTTTAAAATGTGCTTAACAATTTGTTACTATGTTAGTAATAAGGTAGAATTTGTCTGATAAAAATATGCATTCTGTCATTATAAAGGCTTAAAAAGAAAATATGTCTTTAAAAAAACCTTCAAAATGCTAATGCCCAGAGATGTAATAATTGCAATGTAGTGTCACTTTATGGTCCTCTACTAAAGTTGTATAAATCACTCCACTTGCTTCAAAATTTTCCAATTCATGGGGTAATATAGTTTACGTAGAGCTATAAAGGAAACACATTTAAGTCTTTGTGTGAAATTTTAATGATCAGAGCATAGATATTTGGCAGCATTTCAGTACAGACATGTACAAATATTTTGGTAACAAATGACACACTGAAAGTGACTTAATCACTGAATTTTTTCATTGAAGAATTGTGATGAATTTTCTAGCAATGTTTCTCAAGCGAGTAATCCATGGCTATCATGACAATCTAAACCAGCTGATGTAGCATGTTATTTGTTCACGAACTCCATAATCAAGCACTTCATACAAATAAAATAATACATGTATAACTGACATATAGAAATTGATACTTACTCATGTGAAGTTATTGCCACTCAATTGTATTCCCTCAAATGAAGAAATTAGTATTCACTCAGAAATTGGTTATTAGTACTTATTACATAAAAAAAGAAACTAGATCTCAGTAAGAATGTTTTGTTGTTTCAGTATGTGATATGCAGACAGACCATAAAGTGTTCCATTTAAGAAGTCTTCTAGAAGGTGCAATATACAACCAATTAGGTGAAGATGAGATGGCATTACAGGTACTGTATACATATATCGAGAGTAGCATGTTTAGTAGCAACTATTTATTATGTAACACGTAAAAACTGTCAAAATTACAAAATTATCTACTTTAAAATAGAAAATTTTGTAAAAAAAAAGAAAAAAAAGGGCATTTTCGTTCAAAGAAATAATTCTTGAAAACAAATTCCTCCGCCCCTGAAACTTAATTAGAATTTGTAAATTGCGGCCATTTTTTCTTTCGCCTCGAGATTATTTCCTTTGATAATAGATACAACAGATTGAAATAAGATAAAATTCTTACCTTAAATATCGATTGAAAAATATCCCTATGAATCACATAAACTTTATTGCACTTTTTTTGACCTGTCAAATTCAAAAGTTCACCATAATTTCAGTTTCAATCAAAGTCAAATCAGCAATCAACCACAAGCTTCACAATCATGTGTCTAATTTTCTGACTGAAACGATTTGCTCACTTATTCAATTACAATCTGGCAAACAAAAGTAAACATTTACAAGCTCTTAAACCTTCAAGAAAATCATATAGCCTGTTTGATATGTTTATAATATGATGCGAACATTGATGATGTCATTTGCGAAATAAATTATGACGTCAGTGATTATGATTTCAGTGTCTAGATGAATCTATAGCTCGCCATTCCGGTATGAAAGATGATTTACATGTACCACCATTTGCTTTGTTTGAAATGGCATCTATACACATGAAGAAACCCGAGGTATGTATTTATACTGTCTGTTAATTATCAGTCTTATTATTTTTTAAATGTGTTATATCTGATGCTGTAGCCTAGCTCAAAGAAATAGAATTAGGAAAAATGAATTGTTTTGTTCATTAGCTTTGAAAATAAGATATGCTGTATGGACATTTTACCCTAAATATATATAGCTGTTTTATGTTGTCCGGTGAAATATTCTGGGAAGTACATGTATGTATAAACACATGAAGTTACTGGATTCTCATTCCTTGAACCTCCTAATTTAACAATACCTTTAAGCTGCGTGAAAGCTACAAGCGTGAAAAAAAGGTCAAAATTAGTTTCAGCCATAAAAAAAGTTGTAAAATTGTATAGATAAGAGTTCAATTTATTTTTCTATTACAGGGATTCCCTAAAGCCAAAGCTTTGTTAGCAGAAATTAAGGTTTGTAGTTACTGTTTTCAAACTTTTAAACCATGAAATTATATAACTTTACATTACCCTTCCTTTATGAACATATGTGTAGAATCTAGACCCCTGACTTATAGGTGGTTAGCCTTACAAATGAGTAAATATAGTAATTATCAAGAAATATGTTCCATGAGAATATGTTCTTAAAAGGAAGCTCCAGGTAACATGGAATAGTTTATGATATTTGGAGTGAATTCAACCTCAGTACAAAATGAAAGAAAAATCAACAATAGTTTTTAGCTGATAAAAGAGCATTGTCTCTTTAGATGTTATGCTTAACTAACAATTTAGTGGTATTTAGCCTGAGTTATGTGAATTTGAAAATCTAGGATATTAAGTATTATTTGATATGTTGAGTAAACACTGGTAAACAGATAGGCAAGAAAAGCTATTTGTCTCTCAGCGCTGAGTCAGAAACCATGTGGAATTAGTAGTCCGTCACTTGTAGAGAAGGGGCATCTGTGGCCGAGTGGTTAAGGTTGTTGACTTCAAACCACTTGCCCCTCACCGCTGTGGGTTAGAATCCCGACAGGGACTTGGATTCTTTCATGTGAGGAAGCTATCCAGCTAGCTTACGGAACGTCGGTGGTTCTACTCAGGTGCCTGTTCGTGCCTGAAATAATGCACGGAGGGGCACCTGAGGTCTTCCTCCACCAGTAAAGCTGGAACGTTGCGATATGACCTATACTGTGTCGATATGAGGTAAAACCCAATCAAACAAACAAACAAATTTGTAGAGAATTGGTAATTACTCTGGTTAGTGATCCAGGAAATCTGGTTTGATGGATTGATTACAAAGTTAAATTGGGGTAAAAACCAGACAAGCAGTATATACTTGTTTATCCTCAATCTGTGTCTGTAATTTTTTTGCTTGTCTATTTTAAAGAAAAAGTTGAGCTATTATAATTGCTGCTGCGTCATTGGCATCATGAGTGATTTTAATATGATGTTGATACTAATTAGGTTATCGAAAATTTAAATTTGGAACTTTGCAATGTTAAATGAGAGATTTAAATATCAAAATGTTAATTTGAAACTGTCAGTAACTGGTTTTTAGATTTTAATACATGTATAAAAATGCTAATTTGTAACTGTCTGTTGTTGATTATAGGGATTTTTGTTATCAAAATGCTGATTCGAAACTAAGATGTTTTGATGCATGTAAAAGACTTAATAGCCTACAGTATAGAGTGTTTTTTATCTGGAAAAATGTTCAGGCTGGTTTGAGGTCCTACAATTATACTGGTGGCATAGACAAGTGTTTTTTGTCTGTAATATTCAAATAGGCTTGACTATTTATACCCCCGCACAACAAAGTTGTAAGGGGGGTATACTGGAATCAGCTTGTCCGTCCGTCCGGCCGTCCGTCCGGCCGTCGGTTTTTTCTTGTCCGCCCAATAACTTAAGATTCCTTTGACCCTTAGTCTTCTTATTCGGCATGGAGGTTAGTCATGATTAGTAGATGACCCCTATTGATTTTGAGGTCACTAGGTCAAAGGTCAAGGTCACAGGGGCCTTGACTTCAAAAAGCTTGTCCGCCCAATAACTTAAGATTCCTTTCACCTACAGTCTTCATATTTGGCATGGAGGTTAGTCATGATTAGTAGATGACCCCTATTGATTTTGAGGACACTAGGTCAAAGGTCAAGGTCACAGGGGCCTTGACTTCAAAAAGCTTGTCCGCCCAATAACTTAAGATTCCTTTCACCTACAGTCTTCATATTTGGCATGGAGGTTAGTCATGATTAGTAGATGACCCCTATTGATTTTGAGGTCACTAGGTCAAAGGTCAAGGTCACAGGGGCCTTGACTTCAAAAAGCTTGTCCGCCCAATAACTTAAGATTCCTTTCACCTACAGTCTTCATATTTGGCATGGAGGTTAGTCATGATTAGTAGATGACCCCTATTGATTTTGAGGTCACTAGGTCAAAGGTCAAGGTCACAGGGGCCTTGACTTCAAAAAGCTTGTCCGCCCAATAACTTAAGATTCCTTTCACCTACAGTCTTCATATTTGGCATGGAGGTTAGTCATGATTAGAAGATGACCCCTATTGATTTTGAGGTCACTAGGTCAAAGGTCAAGGTCACAGGGGCCTTGACTTCAAAAAGCTTGTCCGCCCATTAACTTAAGATTCCTTTGACCTACAGTCTTCATATTTTGCATGGAGGTTAGTCATGATTAGATGATGACCCCTATTGATTTTGAGGTCACTAGGTCATGGTCACAGGGGCCTTGACTTCAAAAAGCTTGTCCGCCCAATAACTTAAGATTCCTTTGACCTACAGTCTTCATATTTGGCATGGAGGTTAGTCATGATTAGTAGATGACCCCTATTGATTTTGAGGTCACCAGGTCAAAGGTCAAGGTCACAGGGGCCTTGACTTCAAAAAGCTTGTCCGCCCAATAACTTAAGATTCCTTTCACCTACAGTCTTCATATTTGGCATGGAGGTTAGTCATGATTAGTAGATGACCCCTATTGATTTTGAGGTCACTAGGTCAAAGGTCAAGGTCACAGGGGCCTTGACTTCAAAAAGCTTGTCCGCCCAATAACTTAAGATTCCTTTCACCTACACCACAGTCTTCATATTTGGCATGGAGGTTAGTCATGATTAGTAGATGACCCCTATTGATTTTGAGGTCACTAGGTCAAAGGTCAAGGTCACAGGGGCCTTGACTTCAAAAAGCTTGTCCGCCCAATAACTTAAGATTCCTTTCACCTACAGTCTTCATATTTGGCATGGAGGTTAGTCATGATTAGAAGATGACCCCTATTGATTTTGAGGTCACTAGGTCAAAGGTCAAGGTCACAGGGGCCTTGACTTCAAAAAGCTTGTCCGCCCATTAACTTAAGATTCCTTTGACCTACAGTCTTCATATTTTGCATGGAGGTTAGTCATGATTAGATGATGACCCCTATTGATTTTGAGGTCACTAGGTCATGGTCACAGGGGCCTTGACTTCAAAAAGCTTGTCCGCCCAATAACTTAAGATTCCTTTGACCTACAGTCTTCATATTTGGCATGGAGGTTAGTCATGATTAGTAGATGACCCCTATTGATTTTGAGGTCACCAGGTCAAAGGTCAAGGTCACAGGGACTTTGACTTCAAAAACTTTGTCTGCCCAATAACTTTAGATTCCTTTGACCCACAGTCTTCATATTTGGCATGGATGTTGGTCATGATTAGTAGATGACCCCTATTGATTTTGAGGTCACTGGATCAAAGGTCAAGGTCATAGGGACTTTGACTTCAAAAAGTTTGTCTACCCATTAACTTAAGATTCCTTTGACCAACAGTCTTCATATTTGGTATGGATGTTGATCATGACTATAAGGTGACCCCTATTGATTTTGAGGTCACTGGGTCAAAGGTCAAGGTCACAGGGACCTTGACAAAAAAAAGCTTTTCTTCTCAATTGCTAAAGAATGTCCTGTCTGCAATGTATTGGAATTTTGACTTTTCCCACTTTTTGAAGCATGTAGAAAAACAAAAATTTAGAAGGCCCCTGTTTTAGTAACCTCAGATTTGGCAGGGGGGGTTTTTTTTAAAGCTCTAAAAGGGCACACTGTTGATTTCTACAAAGTGGTTAAGGGGGGTATTTCAAGAGAAGGGGGCCCATTTTAGGTTTTTTTAAGGGTTTTTTTACAGGATAAACAAAGTTTATGACTTTGAAAAATAGTTTTTATTTGTTGGGGTCAACAATTGCTGTAAAAAACATTTGAAAGAAAAGGCAAAAGGAAATTTAGTGATTCTTTTCAACAATAAAATTTCCCATGGAAACAAAAACCCCGGGGGGAAAAGGGTTAAGAATAACAATTATTGGGGAAAAATTTGGTAAAAACAAAGGGAAATTATAAAAAATGACAAAATTTAAAAATTTTATTTAAAGGGAAATATAAAAAGGAGTGTGTGAAATAAGGTTGTTTTTCTTTTCCTTAATTTTTTTTTCTTTGTTTTTTAATGATTTTTGAAATTAATTTTTGATCCTGTCTGGTAATTTTAGTAATCTTTTCTGTATTTTCAATGTTATTAAATTTACTCTTTTTAGATAAATAGTCATTTAGTTAAAACATTTCAATTCTTTAACTTAACATTTTTTTGTCAATGATTTTTATCTTAATTTAATATGTTAATTTTGAAATCTTATAAATTAGGAATTTTGTCACTTAAGATATTAAAATAATATTATGGACTTTTTTCTCTCTCCCTACAGTAGTAGGCTACCTTTTTTTCACTACTGCTTCTTAGTACTATCAGCAGTAGTTAAGGACTGGTAGCATTTTGTATTTCTGTTCTTTTGTTCACTATTTATTTAATTTATGATATAATTTGAACAGATTTAGTCATACAAGTTAAATCTAGTCCCTTTTTCTCCTAGACTATTGTTAACATGTTTGTTTGTTTACTTTTAACACAAAAATATAACATTCCATATCTCTTGCTACCTCAATGCTGGGGAAAGGTAAAAGTTCCCAAATTCAACATTCAATATAAATTAATTCAAAGTAAGGTATGAGACCCATTCCCTGTCTTTCATTGTAAAACAAATGATAAGAAATAACTTAATCAGTATAATAACTATGAAAAGAACACAGCTTTACATTGAAAGGTCATGTGGATGCAAGGATTTTAGGTCTCGTTCTGCGCCAAATATCTACTGTTTAGTTACATTCCAGAAAAAAAAAAGTATGCTTAGCTTTAAGAATGCAAATTTAAGTAAAGAAATATTTTAGATGTAATGTTATAACAGTAACAACCCTTTTAAAACAGGGCAACTTGAATCAAATTCAAGGTTAGATATAAAGCAAGGTTAAGGTTCTACAAAGACAAAGGTTAATTATATAGGGTTAACATACGTTTTTTCAAGTTATAACGTCTGCAGAGTCCAGAGGAACTGTTGGTGTCCGAGCCCGGTTTTGGTCCTGTTATAACATGGGCAAAAGAGGAAAAAATAGACAATTTTATGCTATAATATACATTGATCAAGGTCAAGGTTAGAAATGAACCAAGGTTAAAATTCCACAAAAACCAAAGTCAATGACCTACAGAGGCAAGGACATGCATTGCTATGGTCAAGGTTCTGCATGAAAAAACATACTGTTGATATTACGGCTTCAACAGTCAACAGAAATTACATCACGGCTCAGTTGAGGGGATGCTGTTAATGTTCGATACATAAGATTTGCAGCCACTGTTTATCCCTGCATAATAGTAAGAGGGTACTAAGTGGTTTCAAATAATGGAGTCTATGTATCTGTTAGCTCTAGCAGGTGGGTTGGTTTTTATCCCTGGAATTGCTTTTAAGTTTGTAACACCCGAGGTTAGCCAAAATTATCTTTCCTGTTTTGGCGCCATATGACCTATACTGCGTTGGTGCGCCTTAAAATCAAACAAACAAACAACGGCAAATAGTGAGAATGGTGTTCGTTGCAGGCATATACTTCTGGTTAAGTTATTTAGATTCTTTTCTAAGAAAAGATCAAACTAATAATATTTAAAACACCTAAGCTCTACTCTCTGAATTCTTGGTACCTAGGTAATGATTAAGTACCTGGATTGAGGCGTTAACCAATCAAATACATGAGTACTCGAGTACTTGTCTAAACTCTTAATTTAACACAATAAAGTGTTCATATTAGATTTACCTGTGTCTAGCTATTATACACATTAGATGAAAGGTTGTATAGATATATTAGATATGTCTTTATTTTGTGATGTTCTT